GCGCCGGGACTGCTCCGGGGACGGGACGCGCTCCTGCCCGCGGCCTCTCGCCGCCGCACGCAGCGGAGAAAGAAGAAAACACGCAGCACAACGCGCAGCACAACGCAGCGTCAGAATCTCCAAATATCCACTGTCCTGTCACTTCTAATAAAACCTTTTCATACATGGCATGGCCGTATTTTTTAATGGGATTAGATAAGACTTTTTGCAAAGCCATTTCTTTCTGCAAAATGAGTATCTGAGTAATAACATAATACCCTGTTACACTATAGACTAAGACTGGAGCTGTTCATAGCTTAGTCTAACAGCAAGCATGTCCTCCACTCTCCCATGTGTGCTTCCTGAGAACGACATGCAGATAGCCAGAATATCAGGAGCTGCTCTTCTTCCACTGTAGGCTCCCATCTTCCCCACATGCTGCAGGCTCCATATGGTTGATGTGCTTGTCAGGATGGGCCACAGGAATTTAAGGTCACTCTGCCCCAAACCACTTATCAAACACACTTCATAGTGTGGTCACAGAGGTCCATACCATCCATGGACTAATGGATCCATGCCATCCATCCACTAATGAATTTGCCAACAGGTTAAAAATAAGCAGCAGGGCATTGAAGCCTTAGGCAAAGGTGACCCTTGAAGAGCTTGATCCTGAAATAGCAATGATGAAGTCTAGGGAGAACAGCCATGCATTCTGCTGTGTATCCTTGTCCACCACCACCATCTTGGGCACCAGGTAACCCACCCACACCTGCCACAGCACAAGGTTGCCCATTACTACGCTGCTGTCAGGCAATGGTTGCAACAGAGTGGGCACGTTGTCCTTCTTCCACACCATCAAACACTGCAGCACTGAGATGCTCAGCAGTGGCAAGCCCCTGTCAGATGCATGTGTATGGTCACCTCAAAGGTGCATACATCCTCATAGTCCAGAGGATACAATGTTTCATACAGTGCCACTCTTGTCATCCACCAACAAGAAGTCTGTCACATCAGTGGCCACTGGTGGTTTTGTCTCCAGTATGTACCTCACATGGGTGTTCTCAACCATGCCAACATCCATAGCATCAAGACTGTTCAGGATCTTCCCCACAGGCTTGTCATTGCTTAACACTACAGTGTAAACAGTCTGAGAGAAGGTGTACACGTTGTCATCAATATCCAAGAGCCACACCAGCAGTGTCTTCAATGCTGAGAGTGTGGGAGAACCCAAGTGGCTGGCCCACACTGTCATGTTGAACTTTGACACCTCCTCCTGGTCCAGTGCTTCCGATGCTACCAGTACATAAGCTTCACCAGCCAGCAGTGAAATGCTGAAGTGCTGAAATGCTCATCCAGCAGTTCACATCTTGTCCTGCCATTGTGCCCCAAGTCCTGGTCCTGCATGCAGTAGAACACCACCACTGTGTTCAGCAGAGTAGACTTGGAGAGGGTGTTGGTGTGGAAGGTTATTGCGACCTCAGGGACATTGTCATCCACATCCTCTACCCACACCTCTACTTTGCAGTGCATGGACAGTCCTCCCCTGTCAGTGACCTGAATGTGTACCTCATAGGTCTTCGTTTCTTCCAATGGCATTTGGGGTCTAATCTGTCTCATCTCTGTATTCACTTTAAACATTAAAACAATTACCTCTGAATTTTGTACTATGGAATAGGCTATTTCTTCATCCATTCTTGAGTCTAAACCTTTAGCTGAATCATCAGCACTAATGTATCCGAGGAGCTATTTTCAAATATTTGGACTTTTTTTTATCTGGGTAAATGCTGGAATGTTGTCATTTATATGCAGAACTACCATGTGGATTAAGGCTGTGCCAGAGCATGGTGGATACCCACCATCCATAGCCATGATGCTGAAAACCACTTCTGCTCTTCCTAATCCAGAGCTCTGTCCAACGCCAGCTCACTGTGTCTTCTGCCATTACTCCGCCTGCAGATGTAGATGTGGAAATAGTGGTTCAAGCTGATGCTGTAATGCTGAACACTTGTATTTTCCTGCATCTGGATCCTAAGAACTTTCCAGAAAAAAATCGAGTCTTCCAACATTGCCAATTTCTGGATTTTTTTTTTAATCACTTCTTCATTTAAGAACATGGAAGCATGATCATTAATATGTGTGAGGCTTATCTCAGCTTGGAAGAACAGCAGTGGACCCTCCAGCAGCATCACGAAATGCACCAGGCAGGGCTCGGTCTGCCCACACAGCTCCACCCAATCTGTCTACTCTTGCATCGCAGCATGCAGGCTCAGCTGAAAGTATTCACCACAAAGGAACTTCTCTCTGCTTCTTTGGGTACAGAGTACTGTAGGTATCTGCTACCCCCTCTAAAAGCAGAGGAGCAGGATCACAGCCACCATTCTCCCTAAGAGTGATTCCACATTCTTCCTCATCTCCATTTCATAGAATCATAGAATATCCTGGGTTGGAAGGAACCCATAAGAAACATCGAGTCCAACTCCTGGCTAACCTTTTTGCAGCTCTGCCAGTTGACAGAGACATTCTTGCAGCCCACCAACCCCAAGAAGAGCAGGTTTCTGAAATAGACTGACATTGCTCCCCTGGTTCACCATCTGTCAGGCCAGAAGCCCTCACAAAGGGGTTCAGGGCAGCATCTCTCTTGTCTCTCCAACCTCAGCACAATTTAAATGAGCCTTCTCCTGCCTCCTGCGAAGTCTCCTGCCAAGGTCCTTTGATTTTCCCTGAATAAAATCCACTCCAAATGCTCAAATTTATCTCCTCTGACAATGAATATTTCCTTGGTGATGACTATGATAAGTGATCTTTGAGAAAACACACTCACCTGAGGGATTTCCAAGTAGCTTTTATTACTTTTTAATTAGGTATTTCACTCTTGAAAATGTGTAATGTAATACAAAATATCACATGAATTTATATTTCAATGACACTTGATAAAAGGGGAACAGAATGCTCCTTGACTTCTTATATTCTGCAGCTCCTTAAGTTTTCTGTAAAGGTCTTAGTCCATTGTATAGTAAAACAAACAAACAAACAAACAAACAAACAAAAAAAACAAAACACAAATAGTACCTTTAATTCTCTGATTTATCACGGTACGGCTTGGGTTGGAAGGGACCACAAAGATCATGTAGTTCCAACCCCACAGCCGTGGGCAGAGTTGCCAACTGTCAGATCAAGCACTAGATCAGATTGCCCAAGGTCCCCTCCAGCCTGGCCTTGACCTCCCCCAGGGATGGGGTATCCACAACCTCTCTGGGCAACCTGTGCCAGCACCTCACTGCCCTCTCAGTGAAAAGCTTCCCTTTGATATCTCATCTAAATCTCCCCTCCTTCAGTCTAAAATCATTCCCTGTTGATCTATCACTATCTTCCTGTATAAAAAGTTGATTTCTCTTTCTGTATAATCTCCCTTTAACTATTGGAAACCTTCTCTTCTCCAAACCAAAGAAGTCTTCAGCCTGTCTTTGTGGGAGAGGTGCACCAGCCCTCTGACCATCCTGGTGGATCTCCTTTGGACTCTCTCCATATGCTCCACATCTTTGCTGTGCTGTGCTGGGTACCAGATCACAGAATCACAGAATGGCCAGGGTTGGAAGGGACCTCAAGGATCATGAATCTCCAACCCCCGAGATCAGAGTACAAGATGGAGCCTCACAAGGGCAGAGCAAAGAGGAACAACCACTTCCCTCACTATGCTGGCAGCTCCTCTGTTGATGCAGCCCAGGATACCATCAGCTTTCAGGGCTGCAGGTGTGCACTGGTGGCTCAAGTTATATATACCATCTACCAGGACCGCTTAAGTCCTTCTTGGCAGTGCTACTCTAAAGGAGTTCTTCTCTCAGCCTGTATACGTATCTGGGATTGTCCCAGCCCAAGTGCAACACCTTGCATTTGCCTTAGTTGAGCTTGATTAGGGTTATATGGGCCCACATTTGAGTTTGTCAAGGTCTCTTTCAATGATATCCATTCCTTCTGTTGTGTCAACTACACCACTCAGCTTGGTCTCAAGCTTGCTGAGGGTGCACTCGATCCCACCATCTGTGTCAGTGATGAAGACATCAAGGAGTATCAGTCCCCAGACAGACACATGGGGACAGTTCCCTTACCAGCTTCCCCCTGGAAGTAAAACCACTTGCAACAAACCTCTGGCTGTGAATTTCCAATCAATTTCTTATCCACCAATTTATACTCAATAATGCTCAGTAACCATTTATTTCAGCTTTTCATTATGAATGAAAAAATAAAATAAAACAAACACAAGAACACAGTATCTAAAGACCATACTTTGCAGCTTGGAGAATTTGAAAACGTACGGTAGGATATACAGTGTGCCAATGTCAGTTACTTCCAGTGTAGGACATTCTGCTTGTTACTAAAGAATTCCCTTGCAAGCATCATTTAATTTTAATAGCTGTATATCATGGTATTGAGTAGATTACAGAAAATTTAATCATTTTTACAGGATTCACTTGACAACAACAAAGAATGCAAGAAAGCTGATGTAGTATAAAGTTATCTTGAAGATCAGCTTCTTTTTCATATTTCCCTTAAGATTCAAGAGCAATAGAGCTATGCCAATAAGACATCAAATCTTAGTGTAACCAGCATGCAACACAGTCCTCCTGAATAAAGTACAAGTTAACGGGAGAGTGCCCTCGCAATACAACAGAGAACTCTTGAACCTCCCTGGAATACTTTAGATGCTCTCCTTTCCCTGTGAGAATGCTAACCCATGAAGACTGAGATTCTTCTCTTTCTCCTCGATTACTGATGGGTGAGCCAAGGACTCTGACCCAAAGAAGTGTTCTCTTCTGCTGGCCTGGGAGCTGCGTCTTCAGAGAAAGGAGATGGGCCCTGCAAAGAAGAGAGTGGACAGCTGACACGTGGGTGTTGGGGATAAGAAGGTGTTAGCAAGAAGATGAGACAGCTCATCTTGAACCAGTGTACGTGTAACATCATTCTTTCCAATCCATGTTCAAAGGAGGAGGATTGGAAAGCATCCTACAGTAAGGACAACAATTTAAAAAAAAAAAAAAAAAAAAAAAAGTGGAAAATATTTATGGATTGAGGAGGGGGAGAATTTGAAATGGACAAGGTCTCAGACTTCTTACTTGCAAGGAGAACATGGGGTTTAATGTGGGTGAAGAAAAATTGGTCCTGATGTGGAATACCATCAGCGAGGTGATAAAGGATGAACAACTGTCCACTACCATTTCATTGCTAAAACAACACAGGGACATAACAAACACAGGACTGACGAAACAAGGAGGATCGTAGATCGTAGATCTTGATCTCACATCCCATGGGTTAGACCTGCTGTGTGCCTTACCCAGCCGCCCTCCTGCTTCGGAGCTCTCCACGCTCAAGCCGAACTCCTCCGGCTGACACCACACACTTCACGCAGCAACTACTCCGAGGACGGAGCCACACGCAGAGGCGCGGGCAGCCCGCAACCAGGAAGCAGCTGATCCCAAGTGGCGGTTCCGGGACCGCCTCAGCCCTCTCGTCCCGATCCGGGGACCCCTCGGACACCACCGCAACGGCAACTCCGATGCTCCGTGCCACCCCACACCTCCATTCCTTTCCCCTTCCCCGCTCCCCCTCGACCCCCGCGCGGGGCTCCGCTCCCTCACCTGCACGGCCCAGTCGCCTTCTTCTTGCCCGAGGCCGGCCGAG